TTTACTTGCTCACGATTTTGATTTTGCCACGTTTACTGCAGTCAGTTTTCGAACGGCAATGTATAGGCCCTGCTGAAATCTCTTGCGTTGCCACGCGGCCGTCTATTACTTGAAGCCGTCCCGTAGCTTGACTTCGCCTGCAAAATCTAGGTAGTTCAACTACGGCTCAATGACAGGGTCGTTGATGAAGGCTAAGAACTAACGTGGTCCCAGTACCGATCCTTGAGGCACACCAAACTGGATGTCAGTTTGGTAAGAAATGAAGCTGCTGTCTCTCACATTCAGCTGACTTTGATTGAGGCAGTTTCTTCCCAGCTTCTTTGATTCCATATCTGCGAAGCTTTTGAAAGAGAATATGGTGGTCCAGGCAATCGAATGCTTGTAGAAATCCAGGTATATGGCGTCGATTCCCACTCTGTCATCAACTGGTTCCGTCCAACTTACTCGGACTCGAAGTAGGTTTATTGTACATGATCGATCGCAGCGTAATCCGTGCTGCTGTGAGCGTATGACGTTGTTGCTCTTAAGACGTCGCATAAACGCATGGGCAATCATACCTTCCATAAATTTGGACAACACCGGGAACAGGGTGATTGGACGGTTGTCAGAGTGCCCTTCAGGATTAAGATTCTTTTAATGGGATTGATTATTCCATGTTTCTACATGGTTGAAACTTGCATCTCAGTAACGCGTTGTTGAAAAAGCCGAGCTAACTCTTCGGCGAATTTCATAGCGGCTGTCTTTAACGATTCGACCTTCTTTCCTTCACACCAGGAGAGCTACACGCGCCCGAGGACGATAGTCTTCTCATCATATTTGCTACAGTGAACGATACATAGCTTAACCCTGGAGGTAGCATCAGCTATGTCAAAAACGGATGAGGTAACGATTAACTTCGGAAAGTGCGGATGAGATGGTACCGAAGCTCAGTAGTCGCCACTTATGTACTAAGCACAAAGCTGCACACTGCAAGTAGAACTTGAACTTCGTGCTGCACTCTGCGGAGCCAGGTAACTTGTCTCTACGGCAGTTTGTCATTAATACTGAATTTTGTAGCTAACTCTAGCCAGTGCCCCAGTTTGTCTCCACGCATCAGCTTGACGCAGTGGCTTCGGTGAATTATCTAGGCACACCATGTCTGCATACTTGGACAAGCTATACTAACGAGCTAAGTTAAATAACCTCAGGCCATGTGCTTTCCAGTCAGGTACATCAGGAAATATGTTGTTAACTTCTTTCAAGTGATTTTGGTTTTAAACTCATTCGCCGCTCGCCTAGTAAACTGGATGATAAACTCCCTCCAGGCGACATTTGGCGGCTGCTTGGCTAGGAAGGACCTATTGGTATTTTAAACGACGCCATGTGCTTCGTCATTGTTTTCGCAGATGCATTCCGTGTAGTAGGTGGAACAGAAGAGCAAAGCTGCGTGATCGCTACAGCTAGGCGATGCACCTATGGTTACAGAGTCGATGAATAATTTATTATTGATGAGCACAAGGTCTAGTACAGATGGTTCGTCACGCGTTCTGTATCGTGTGGCAGAGGTAACATGGTTTAGTGCATCGGCGATTACTTCTTGCAAGTCGCTCTTGTATTGTTTGCTGAGACAGGCAGTGGTTTAGCTTCAGTACCGGTAGAAGTCCCTCACTGGAAGGAAATGACTACATGACAGTACCAGGACTCGATTCATAGCAGACGAAAAACAGTGATCCGGTTGCGGAGTGGACATTGGTTGGCGGTTAACTATCGTTAGGAAACACACATCAACAAGTCTCTGGTGCAGACAGCACCAAGAATAATCGACAAATTACATTTCTGGATCGTCGATACTATCAACCTGGAAGTCGTTGTAGTAATACACAAACACTTCTCCTCCACTGCTGGGTTGATCAGTTCCTAGTGGAACCATGCCGGGTGGAGCTGTCTCAACGTATATGATCTCAGTGTTTAGCAACACTTCGGTTAAGATAACTATGTCGCAAGGCCTGGAAAGCCGACGAGTACGAAGCTCGGTTAATTTAACAGGAAGAACTTGTGTGTTGGCATATGTTGCGTCTCGAAAGGGCAAAGGACGGGAGTAGCAACAGGTTGTATATATGAGCATGTCTGCACTTGCACGCGTTACAATCAAATAGACAGACCTAAACAGATGCAAACAGTCAAATGAAGAGCACATGGCTGGTCCAGTGGATGATAAGTACGCGACGTGGGTGCTGCAAACAAACCGAGTACAAAAATAAATCTCATAAAGAACCCACGACAGTATACAAGCATATTTGGGTGGTTGGATCACAGGTAGTCAATTCGTAATTCCGTATATGCGGTATATTATTACTCATCCATTAGCTTCAGGTAATATAATAATAATAATAATGCTAATAATATAATACGTATATTTCTCCTTATGTGAAACTGTGTCTGTAGCGGCTTAGATCAATTTCACAAAAGTACCCATGATCTTGCATGTGCGACGTGCATAGGTGGAATATTTGGGTATGCATTTTAGGTTGTTACATTCTGATTGTTGCTTGTGGCGAAAGCCAAGTTTTGGAAACATAGGTCTTTAGGTGTTTTCGGCCCCCACGTAGGATAGCTTTTGTGGGATCTTACCATGTGAACATAATGATTGAGGTATTTAAATCAAGGCAATTGGAGAGTTTGCGTCTACTTGTTGACACATTACCACATGAGCTGCGTGTGCTTGCTAGCTTATTCCACAGATAGGTATATCTAATCAGAAAGAAATAAACGCGAATGTCCGTTCTGACCTACGGTATATTCTGTGTAAAGACCTTATTCCGAAGTTTCCGAGTTGAGCTAGGTCGTAGTCCGAGTGTAGACAGACCGGATTAGTTCCTTTTTTGTAGCAGGTTGCAAGGCAGCAACAAGTTGTGCTTCAATCGTCGAAACCATTTGGTTCGAGTTGAAGTTCATTGCAACGTTCTCGACAAATCACAGCAGAGTGCTTACCAATCAGATGTTTAGTAAACGAACATCTCAGGTGCTCCACTACAATGCTGTCACTATTCCTCATATTGTCCTACATTCTGCTGCAGTATTCGAGGTATGGACTGGTGACTAACTTAATAAGCTTAACTAGCATGGGTTGTATGGATTTTATAGGATATATTGAGCACAGATTGCTTGGCAAGCGCTACTTGCTATTTGGCCTGTTCGGAGAAATTGAAGTTAGTTGGGCACCTAAGTACGACCTCACGCGTGAACAACTGTGTAGAGGCATGTGTATTGTTTAGTGTGATAGGTCCTTCGGAGATGGAACAGCTTTAAACAATGATCTGGGTCTTCGACGAAAAGCATTTATAAGCATTTCACTGATTGTGAACGGCCCCTGCAGTTACCACCATTAATTGTTTAAGTCGACTGTCCTGACAGATAACTCTTTGCTGTAACGCTTCATTTACGTTGCAGATAATATATGAAACGCCCTCGAGGAAATAGTTCGTCAGGACAAGTCGGAACGAGAGCAGTAACAACGAGTGTAAATCCGAGGTTGTCAGTAAGATGTCAGTCACCTAGCCTCTAATCCAGAATTGAAAACCTACCACTGAACGGTTTAGGACCGTAAAAATACTTTAAGAATAAAAAATATCACATGTACCGCTGAGTATGAACAAAAATAGTGCAGATGGCTCTGTAAATGAGTTGGCTAGCAGTTTGAGGATTGTGGGGCTAAAGTAGTTCCTGCATCTGTGAAGGGAAACGGGATCTACTTAACCTATTGTAAAGATTGTACACACGTGCACATAAGCCATGTCGCAAAGCATCAGCTCACTAAGTTTGTACCTCATAAGCAGTGCATCATGAAGATTGAAGAACTAACCTAAATACCTACGCATAAATGACTGTTCAGACTAGAACAGCACATGCCTGCTGAAACCTTTGGAAAATCTGAGCGCTTGGACCGCATTAGGAAAAGACTGTGGGGGCACCAAAAGCTTAATTGTTGAGTTGAATGAATCACAATCGTATAGTTAGTAGGTGAACATGTTAAATTATTGGTCGTTTGACTTGAACTAGTCACTCTAAAGTGAGTCCTTGATTTGTTTCATGTTATAAGGGCCGGGATGAACACCACCTAATACTCCTTTAACGATGGCGCGGTGGATCCTGGATATATTCGGATGTTTCCGTGCTCAATCTTGCACGTCGACTAGAATTGCATTTCGCTTGTCCTCACTGCCGTCCAAGTAACTATCAAGATATTGCACTGAGTAGGTTTTTTGTAATAAGCAAGTCAGTACCTTGTAGGTAATCTTCCCGATTGTCGTCAGTCCTTCGTGGGTTTTCGATTGGCATTAAAATATGAAGTAGCTAGTTCATCGGCGCCTCTTGGAGTAGGAGTAGATCGAGTTCAGCTGTAAACCTGCTACGAACTTGTTCAGAATCGGCACCAGCATGGGATCAGGCGGATTTCACTGGTATGACAATTAGCAACAAGGCACATCTGCTTCTCATTTTCAGTCGACCTGATCCTTTTATAACAAATAGCGTGCATGGAAACGGTGCTGCTATGTGCAGAAATATTAAATCTCCTTGATTGTTTAAGCTAAGAAAAACAGTAAATATAGGACGTGTGATGCTGTCTTCGGTTCATGCATGCTCTTCAATCACATGCGAGTAAGCAATAAAGACTTAAGAGACAAAGTCGCGTTAGACTGATTGGTAACAATGTAGAGATCGAGCGATGTGCATCTGCGTACCACAGTAAGGGGAATAGCACTGTCAGCCTTTTATCTACGCAGGATGCCGGTTAACTTTGACCCCAACAGTAGCCTCAAGGTGCGTGCAAATGTAAGACTTTTGAGTGCACATGCTGCAACAGGTTTGATGTGGTTATCGACGTTTGGCAAACGCCTCAATGCACCAAGCTCAACAGTCGTGTATGCCATCCTTTTGCTCAGTTTTGAGCGCTGGCGTAGTATGAAATATGCATATTTTCTAATAACTGTGCTTAACCCCCTATGTTTCTTTCACTGTAGGCACTCCTTGAGGTGGACGGCATAGATGTGAACGCAGAGGGACATCGAGGAGCCACACCACTCCATTACTGCTGCAGCAGGGACAGTGTGGATTGTTTGAACTTGCTGGTAAGGAATTAATAGTAGTGTGAAGGCATGTCAGTATCAGTTTCTTGTTGAAAAAGTGTGCACTATTTTGGCTAGCATGAGAAAGAGTCATTTGCTTGACATTCTGCCACCAAGTTTCGTTCTGCGGCTGAATTAAATGACACGCTAGTCTTGCCGATTTTACACACTAAGTGTGGGCATCATGAGATTTTGTAAACGGCCGTTATTAGCCTTTGAATATTGAGAATCCATTTCCTTTGAATGTGTATAAAGAAAATAATTTTTTAAGCTAACAACACGATTTGTCAATTGGGTAAAAGAAAAAGGGAGAAAGGAATTTATTCTTGATACCAACAGTAGATGCGCAGCAACTAACTGTCCCTGTTGTTCGTCCTCGTTAAACAATTGAACGAAACACCTATATCTGTAACATGATTTACCGCTGTCCACTTTAGCAGTCTCGACTGGCTGGTGTATACATATGGCTTGGATTCTATATGTATGATTTACTGGCGTCGTATAATTTATAGTCTCCAAAACCCAAATTGTGGCAAACCATCGTTGACCTGTAAATGTAACCCATGCTAGGCTAACCTCCACTCCCGTTACTCATAGTTGTTGCCACTGGACCGCCAGAAAGAAAACTGGGAGAAATTTCAGTGTTATACTGCGATTCATGCGTAGATTTTAGTTTCAAAATATTCTCACAACATTTATTTCATTCAAAATCAGTAGAGTACAGTAGCGCAGCACACATTCACGTAACACTGGGGATCGTATTAGTGGTAGGGCTATTTGCACTATTTTCGAACTGTAGAAGCAATGGCCAGGATGGTGCAGCTAGAAAATGAACCAATTCGCATTCTCAACTACGATCGATTTGTCTCCCTAGCGGAACATGATATACGCTAATCAATAGGAAGTTCTTAACACTTGCTTCTAAATCAGATAATCTAACGAAGCAGTGGATGCATGTTTCGACCAATTGTGTCTAATCCGTAGCTGCATCTATCAGCTCCATTAGGATCCGAACCCATGGCCACCAGCGGCTTGAACGGCTATCCAACCTATTATGCCATTGAGTCGTTAAAACAGCGGTGGACAGTCATGCTTTACGAGCTAACTGTAACAGTTGATTTGGAAAATGTAGCGGTGAACTATCAATTATTCAAAACCAAATTCACTTACTCTAAATACTAGCTGCTGTATTGTGGGTGTAAGTAAAAATTTAATATGTACAAATCCATTGGAATATTATCGAACATACAGCAAAAGGTATCTGACACGTAATGATACTGTTACTATACTTAAATTACTTAGGTTGCA